CTTTTTTTTGAGTCGAGCAGCCTCCCACTGGGAACTATTCAATAGTTCTTTTTGCACAGATGCATGTCGACAGATTTCGGTAGTGGTTACAACATCAGTCGAACCGTTGTTCTCCAATGATAGAAATGCCCGTAGCTGTCTGGCTCCCAGACTCCGTCTTGAGGACCGTGCGGTACGCGCACCAATGGGCAGCTCAAGCTTCATCCACAGCTCCCCCCAGATACACAGCAGCCAGGATCAAACACATGCAGCGATATTGTATGCACTGCAATGCGCACGCTGCAAACGTCTTTCCTCGACCCTCGTTTTCCACCGACATATGTTTTCATGACGTGGCCGCTAGGGGCCTTGACGCGTTCCTCGGGGTATAACGTCCCCCGGCGCCTAGAACAGGCTTCTGGAAGCCCAAGATGGTACATATTCAGTATCTCGACTTCTTCAGGCTGCCGGATATCAGTCCTTCCCCCTCCTGAGCTTGAGCCGTTTTGGTGCAGGACTGGCGTGGCGCCCTTGCCGCGTCCGCGCCGCCGCCAGCGGCTGATGGGTGATCCCCCGGGGAAGCCTCTCGGCAGGGTCAACGGCAAAGTCATCTCGGAGGCCAGAGCAGCTCGCACGGGAGAGTGCAGCGGTGGACCTGAACGGGGGTGTTCCGGCGACTTCGTGTGCCGTTCTCGTTTCGACCTCGTTTTGCAGCAGAGGAGGAACGAAGACGAAGCGAGGGGAACAAACGGGAACAAGACGAGCACGAAGAACACCGTTTTTTAGGCCGAGCCCCGGGGCAGTGCCCATTTGTTTGTTGAAGCCGCAACGTCCGAGACCGGGGGCGACCGGCTCTCCCCTTGGTGCTCACAGGCACGCTGTTGCGCGCGCAAGCGTCCGGTTCGCCAGGGATGCCAGGAACGCTGGGAGTGCAGTGCTGCTGCTGCGGCCTCTCCTGCTGCTCCTGCTGCTCCTGCTGCTCCTGCTGCTGCTGCTGTGCTCATCCCATCCTGCTCTTCCACCAGTGTTCCTCCTCCTCCTCCTCCTGTGCTCTCCCTGCTGGTCCTCCTGCTGTTCCTCCCGCGGTTCCTCCCGTCGCTCCCGCTGCTGCTTCTCCTGCTGCCCCTCCTGCTGCTGCTCCTGCTGCTGCTGCTCCTCCTGCTGCTGCTCGTGCGTTTCCTCCTGCTCCTCCTGCTGCTCCTCCTGCTTCTCCTCCTGCTGCTCCTGCTGCTGCTCCTGCTACTGTTCGTCTCCCTCTCTCCCCTGCTGCTCCTGCCTGCTCCTCCTGCTCCTCCTGCTGGTCCTCTGGCTGTCACTCCTGCTGCTCGTCCTGTTGCTCTTCCTGCTGCCCTTGCTGTTGATTATCCTGCGGGGGTTTTCTTGCTGATTATCCTGCGGTTTTTCCCGCTGCCCTCGTGATGCTCTCGTCCTGCTCCTTCTGCAGCTGTTCCTGCTGGTCCTCCTCCTCCTCCTCCTCCTCCTTCTGCTCCTCTTTGCTCTCATGGTGCTGCGCCAGCTGCACCTCCTGCTGGTCTCCTCCGTGCTGCTCGCTCCTCCTGGTGCTTCTGCTCCCCCGGTGTTCCTCCTGCTCCTGCTCGTCCTGCTCCTCTTCCCTCCCCCTCTTTCTCCTGTTCCTCCTGATGCTGCCGTGCTCTTCCTCCAGAGCTCCTCCTGCTGCTCCTTCTGCTTCTCCTGCTTGCTGCTCAGGTGTTCCTCCTTCATGTTCCTCTTGATCCTGCTCTTGCTGCGGTTCCTGCTGCTCTGGTCCTCCTCCTGCTGTTTCTCTTGCTGCGCCTCCCATTGCTATGATTGCTGTTCTTGTTGCTGTTCCTCCTGCTGCTCCTCAACTTGATTCTGCCGATCCTCCTGGTGCTCGTCCTTTTCTCCTGCTCTTTCTCACCCTCCTGCTGATCATCCTGGTGCTGCTTGTCCTGCTGCTGTTGCGAATGTGTGCAACACCAACAACAAACTACTACTACCTCTGCTGCTACTGCTCCTTCTACTGCCCTTACAACTACCACTGCGGTGCTTACTAGTATCACTACCATGACTACTACAATTACCACGACTTCGACGATGACGGCCACTTCCGCTTCTACTAAGACCGCTTCGATCATTCCCAACCATCTTGTGGTGACGGGTCCTCGTTTTGACAGCGCCCCGCGTTCTCACTCCTCCCGCTGCCCCCTCCCTCCTCCTACATCGTGATCATGATCATGATCATCGTCACCAGCATTGTTATCATCGTCACCAGCATTGTTATCATCATCATCATCATCATCATCATCATCATCATCATCATCATCATCATCATCATCATCATCATCATCATCATCATCATCATCATCATCACCATCATCATCATCATCGTCGTCATCATCAATCATTGCCATCATCACCATCATCGTCATCCTCACCATCAACCGTGCGACACCCATTCCAGCGTTTCGTGGCCCCATAGGGAGCTCCACCGAAGGCCCCAGTGGGGGTGCCCGCATGCGTCCGCCACACCCAGTACAGCGTTTCGTGGCCCCACTGGGAGTGGGGGTGCCCGCATGCGTCCGCCACATCCAGTACACCACTTCGTGGCCCCAAACGGAGCTCCACCCAAGGGCCCAGTGGGGGTTGCCCGCATGCGTCCGCCACACCCATTGCAGCGCTTCGTGGCCTCATAGGGAGCTCCACCCAAGGGCCCAGTGGGGGTGCCCGCATGCGTCCGCCACACCCAGTACACCGCTTCGTGGCCTCATAAGGAGCGCCACCGAAGGGCCCAGTGGGGGTTGCCCGCATGCGTCCGCCACACCCAGTACGGCGTTTCAGGGCCCCATAGGGAGCTCCACCGAAGGCCCGAGCGGGGGTTGCCCGCATGCGTCCGCCACACCCAGTACAGCGTTTCGTGGCCCGATCGGGAGCTCCATCGAAGGCCCCAGTGGGGGTTGCCCGCATACGCCGGTCACACCCAGTACGGCGTTTCGTGGCCCCATCGGGACCTCCGCCGCAGGTCCCAGTGGGGGTGCCCGCATGCGTCCGCCACACCCAGTGCAGCGTTTCATGGCCTCATCGGGAGCTTCACCGAACCACCAGTGGGGGTCCCAGCATGCGTCCGCCACACCCAGTACACCGCTTCGTGGCCTCATCGGGTGCCCCACCGAAGGGCCCAGAGGGGGTGCCCGCATGCGTCCGCCACATCCAGTACACCGCCTCGTGGCCCCATCGGGAGCTCCACCCAAGGGCCCAGTGGGGGTTGCCCGCATGCGTCCGCCACACCCAGTACAGCGTTTCGTGGCCTCGTACGGAGCTCCACCGAACCACCCAGTGGGGGTGTCCGCATACGTCCGCCACACCCAGTACAGCGTTTCGTGGCCTCATCGGGAGCTCCACCGAAGGCCCCAGTGGGGGTGCCTGTATACGTCCGCCACACCCAGTACAGCGTTTCGTGGCCCCATCGGGAGCTCCACCGCAGGCCCCAGTGGGGGTGCCCGCATGCGTCCGCCACACCCAGTACACCGCTTCGTGGCCTCATAAGGAGCGCCACCGAAGGGCCCAGTGTGGGTTGCCCGCATGCGTCCGCCACACCCAGTACGGCGTTTCAGGGCCCCATAGGGAGCTCCACCGAAGGCCCGAGCGGGGGTTGCCCGCATGCGTCCGCCACACCCAGTACAGCGTTTCGTGGCCCGATCGGGAGCTCCATCGAAGGCCCCAGTGGGGGTTGCCCGCATACGCCGGTCACACCCAGTACGGCGTTTCGTGGCCCCATCGGGACCTCCGCCGCAGGTCCCAGTGGGGGTGCCCGCATGCGTCCGCCACACCCAGTACATCGTTTCGTGATCTCACAGGGGGAGCTCCACCGAAGGCCCCAGTGGGGGTTGCCCGCATGCGTCCGCCACGCCCAGTACAGCGTTCCATGGCCCCATAGGGAGCTCCACCGAAGGCTCCAGTGGCACCGCCCGCATGCGTCCGCTGCGTCCGTTTTGTGACCCCATGTGCGGGCTTCACCGAAGGCCCCAGTGGCACCGCCCGCATGCGTCTCCACAACCCACTACAGTGCGTCGTGGCCCCACAGGGAGCTCCACCGAAGGCCCCAGTGGGACCGCTGCAAGCGTCCCCCCCTGTATCACCGACGTCGCCGAGAAGTCGGCGATGCTGCGCGATCCTCCGATCCAATCTGCTCCGAACCCATCGGGGGGTCTCCACGTGAGGAGGCGTCCCCCGCGCGAGCGGAGATGTTGAATGGGGCGAAGAGCGGCATGCCATACGCTTCTCAGCGATCGGGGGCGCTTGTCTCACGACGGCTGGGACGTTTAGACTCCTTCGTTGGCAGGTGGGGGGACAGTCAACCCGCGTAAGAAGGAGGGGCAACCTTCCCAAGGGTACCCTTGCATCCTTGCCCCTTCGGCCCATCCATGGCCTCTTTCGCTTGCCTCGCCCCGCTCGAAACGCCTCGAAGTTGCCCTCCGACTGCATAAGCTTCCAACCGCCGTGGGACAGGCGCCCCTGAGCGTGGAGCAGTTTCTGTTCTACCGCTCTTAGTCCGCTGAGATCTGTGCCGTCCACGGGCTCTCGACGCCAACTTCTTTCGGTGGCAAATCCACTTGGGACCCCCCAGTCCGCCGATCAGATCGCCAAACATCTGCTTAGTTTCCAGCTGTTGTGGGGGACTAAAGGCGCATCGGGGTTAGAGGATCGGGCTGGTGTGTTGCGTTCGTTCCTTCATTTGGCGTCGGAGGCCTCCTAGGACTCCTTGGAGCTTCCTCGGGTTCGGAAGCAAATCATGGGAGCCTGGTGTACCCTCTGAATTTCGTCTTTCGCGTCGACTGGCGTCGGTTAGCGTCGGGGAGTCCAGGGGGTTGCCCGATCCAGCATCGAGTAGCGTCGATTCATCGTCGATGAGCGTCGATTCAGCGTCGACGAGCGTCGATTCGCAAGAGCCGACGAGATGGTATGGGAGGCTCCCATGCGTTGCCGCCGAAAGCTCTGCTCGCGTGTTGCTCTGCCCTCTGGGCCCCATCGTCGTCGGGAAGGCCGGCGTGGGCAAGACGTGCCTCGTGGAGAGGTTTGTCAACGACAGGTATGCCGCGGACGAGCCCGGGCACGGCGCGACGCTGGGGACGGATTGCCAGCAGAAGAGGGTGTTCATAGAGCGGCGGTTCAACAATGGGGCACTGAGGGATGGTGATTGTAGGAAGGGGTCCAATCTTGGAAGGGATCCCAGGCTGGATGCAAGTAAATCAAAGGAGGAGGTCGAAGGATCGGAGGGGATCCATTAAGGTTGGATTAGTCCAGATGCGCTGCCGCGCGATTCCGCCGCCGCGCTTGGGCGGGCGCGTTTGGGAGGGCGGATGGGGGCGCTTGGGGAGTGGGGGGCCGCGTTCTTGGGATTTGTTTATTCTGCGGAAGGCGAGCCAACCGGTGTTTTTTTGTGGAGCAAGTGGAAGGATGTTGGGTTCGATGCGTCTGGGGGCCTCGAATACCGTTTCACCAGAAGCGAGATAAGGGAATAGCAATGCCCGATATACCAATCGCTGCAAGCGCAGTGGCGGGCATTGTTTAGGGTACGTACCTCGCCCTCTGGGCCCAATCCCTCGGAACTCCATCTTTGAACAGCCGGATAGACAGCAGCACCGAGGTGCCAGGGCTCGAGTTAAGCGTTGTTTTGGCGACCTCGTGGGCACCGTTTTAGGCTTGATTTCGTTCTGCAGCAAAGGCGGACCGAGGGAGGACGAAAACAGACCGAATACGGAAAGCACTGTTCAGCTCGAGCCTTGCGAGGTGCATCTCTTCATCTACGACACGGCGGGGCAGGAGCGGTTCGCCGACCTGGCGGCCAGCTACTACCGCGTCGGCGAGGTCTGCCTGCTGTGCTTCGACATGTCGGACATGGCGAGCTTCGACAACGTCAATTGGTGGCAGAGGAAGGTCCGGGGCTTTGTGGGCCCCGGAAACGGCAGGGCCGTTTTTTTCGAAACCGTTTCAGAAAAAGTGTCCCTTGAAAATGGAAACGGCAAAGAAACGGCGACCGGAATCGGCAACAAAAACGGCTCCAGGATTGGAACCGGAGCCGGAACCAGTGAAAAAACGGCGACGGAACCGGTAAAAAAACGGCGTCGCAACCGGCAAACAAACGGCAAAACGGAACCGGTAAAAAAACGGCCCTGCAGTTTCCAGGGCCCACTAAGGTCCGGGGGCACAACGACAGGTGCTCCTTCATGCCGGGCCGGGCGAAGGGCGGGGAGCGGGCGGGGCCATGGCGAGGACACATGCGCTCCAGAGCATTCCGGAAGTCTTTGAGGAGGCCGCGGCGCCCGAGACATCCTCCAGAGCCGCCAGATCTCAGAGATTCTTGATTTATCTTCACTCACCCGATTTTATCGTCCTGGCTTCGCCTTCGCGGGTTAGGGAAAGGGGGTCTAGATATCGGCCCTAGGTGTCCCTCGGAGGCGACGATGCGGGCGAATAGCCCATGGGGGGGGGGGGGGGGCAGCAGCACGCGCACCCGGTCGCGGCGATGGTCCATCCGTCGGCGTGGCTGGGGAAACGTGCAATGCCCGGGGGAGGAGGGGGGAGGGGGAGGGGGGAGGAGGGGGCAGCCCCTGGGCCATTCGCCCCTGATGTCGCCTCCAACTTCCCGCCCTCCCGCCCGACCCGGTCATCCTGGTCGGCACGAAGGAGGACAGCGTGGAGGAGGGCGCCAGCCTCGAGCCCGTTACCGCTTGGGCGGACGAGAACGGCATACCGTTCTTCCAGACGAGCGCGCTGAGGGGGGGCGCCAACAGTCGAAGGAGAAAACACTGAACGAACATACATTTTCGGCCCCTTCGCGCAGATTCCTTGGTGATCGTTTTTTATCCATTGCTTTGCCGATCGGCGCGGGCCCCTGCACCCCCCCTCCCCCCCCTTGGAGTAGATCTTTGCTGTTTGGGGCGCCTGCTTCAAGCGGGCGGGATCTCCCCCAGAGGACGCACTGCTGCAACCAGTCGCACCAAGCAGAGGTCCGGAGCCAGACTTTCCCCCCCCCTCCCCCTCCCTTCCGCCCACTGTCGAAACGCCGAATGAGCAAACGCTGACTTGCATCGGCGCTGGATCCCCCCCCCCCCCCGGCGCGCGCAGCGAGCCCCGGGGTCGGCGCCGGAGGAGCCGCCAGGGGGGCCCAGCGCCAATCCGAGGGGTCCGCGCGGAGCTGCGAAAGTACACAGCCAGCCCGCAAAGGAGGGGTGAGCAGCTGTCCAAGGCTGCCCTTGCGTCCGTCCCCTTCGGCCCATCCTTGGCCGCTGTCCCCTGCCGCGTCCCGCCCGCAGGGTGTCGGCATGGCCCTCCAAGGCCCTCGCATCCTTACAGTCAAAAGCCCTGATAAGGACGCGCGACGTTGCTCGGGGTACCCTTGCGTCCTTGCTCTTCCTTGCTCTTGCGTCCTTGGGGTTTTCGTCGTCCGCCGCCCCAAAAATCCCAACTTTGGCTTCCAAGGGTCTTGCGTCCTTACCGCGCGTCCTTATTAGGGTTTTTGACTGTATCCTGCGTCGTTCTGATACGGCCTGACGGTATGTTTGTTCAGTTTTTTTGTCTTTCCAAACGTCGGCGGCGAGCGAGGGGCTGAAGTGAGAAAGGGCGGGCCTTCTCAGAAGGCTCGGAGTTTCCCGACCTTCCGAGAAGTCTTCCTAGCCTTCTCCGAAGACGGCAAGAAGCCTCTCAGCATTCGCGAGGGCGCCCGAGAAACCCCGCCGCCTTCTCAGAAGGCCTCCGCCTGCTCCCTTCCCCCCCCCCCCCCTAGGGAGCCACATGCGAACCCTACGCCTACCCCCCACGGTTTCTGAGGGGGAGGGTGGGGTCCACTTCGTTTGGGAGCTCCCGAACGAAGTGAACCCCACCCTCCCCCTCAGAACTCGTGGGGGGTAGGGGTAGGGTTCGCATGCGGCTCCCTACCCCCCCTCGCTCGCCGCCGAGAACGTCAATTTCCTCTTCCACACCGTCGCCGAGAAGTGCGCGCGGCTGAGCCGGGAGAAGCAGCTGAGCGAGGGCCCCGCCGGCCGCGGCGGCGGAGACCGGCTGCACCTGCAGAGCGGCTTCGGGGCGCCGAGGCGGGGCGGCTGCTGCTAGAGGAGAACAGGACGTCTGCGCCAGGGAGGTGCGCCCCCCTTCGCCGGCGGGGATCTTCGGCCGAGCCAGGAGGGGGTCGGATCGACTCGCGTGAAGTCGGGCGCGTCCTTCTGCGGGAGGAGTGTCCAAGACTGGCCCGGAAGTGGTCTGGGGACGATCCGTTGACTCTTCTTGGCGAGCTTCTTTGTGGTGTTGCTGGGTCGCTTCTAGATGTTACGCCCAAAATTCGCCTGGAAGAGGACATGCCCGACCTAAGATTTGTTGTGTTGTAGTAGATCTGGGGCGTGCAACACAGTCCTCCACGTCTCCCAGATGGGGTCGGAGTAGAGTGGAGGCCCATGCCAAGAAACACCCTGCTTGCCTCCAGGGTGCCCTGGGTTTCTTAGGTTTCGATGATTTTGCTGTGGAAAGCGTGACGTTCCCAGACCAAAAATCGATGGATGTCCTGTGGTCTCAGGGTTGGATTTCTTGTGGAAGGTTTCTTGTGGTCGGGCCCCTGGTGTAGATGGGGTCGGCGGCTCGCGCCGCATCGCCGATGCATCGACGATGCGGCTCGATGTGCAGCCCGACGTTCTCCGCGACGGTGTCGCCGATGCATCGCCGATGCGTCGCCGATGCGTCGCCGATGCGTCGCCGATGCATCGCCGATGCATCGACGATGCATCCGCGATGCGGCGCAATCCTCCGACCCCATCTGAGAGGCCTCTACTCATACATTCCGGTGCGCAGCCATATGGCTGGACTCTCGCTGGTGGCCGTACACTGGTTGCAATGCCGTTCCCTGGCACGGTCCATCTGTACAACACGATTGTCCCGAAGTCTCTTGTACCGCCCCCTCTCAGCCAGACCCTTACCTGTTCGAAACATTTCCCTATCCCTATGTTTGATATCGACTTACCTCGGTGCCGATCTTGAGAATTCCCTCAGTTTCTGAGGGCCTGGCCCTAAGATTGTCCTCGCTTTTTGCTCGCCCATCTTAGGGATAGGGATGCGTTCGAGGCTGGCTAGACCCCCTCGCGGGCCCACCGAGAGGCTAATTAGAGAGGGGGGCGCTCGCGGGGAGGGGAGGCGCGAGGCCGCTTCCCGCCCGGAGGCCGGCGGGAGCGTGCCCGGGCTCGGCGGAGGCGGTCGTGCACCAGCACCAAGTTAGGGGGCGGAAAAGCGGGGGGTGATGACTAGGGGGGGGTGGACACCATGGCGGGGGCCATGATATTTCCCCAGATTTCATGGCGCCTCTTCTTACTTCATTACGTCCCCAGCCCCCCCCCCTAGGCCGCGCACATGCCGCCGGTCATGATTTGCACCCCCCTCTCTTGGAAACCCCCCTCTTGGCCACTCCCGATCTACAGGAGGAGCATTCAAGAATAGTCGAAATATACCTGGGGGGGAATTTTGGTTGCCCAGTTTGGCTTCTTTTTGTTTCTCTCTCAATATGTTGTGCGAGCATGTTCCATTTGCCCTCCACAATCACCAGCACCACCCAGACATCCTCGAGTATTATGATGCTAACTCCTACTTTAGCCTTGACCACCAGAAAGAATTTCGAGCACCAAGAATATGCCGAGACTTGAGGGTTTTCACGTGTCGGGCCCTGAGCGGCGATCCTCGTTCGACACTGATTCGATCCTTTCCCGGGCGCTCGAAGAAATTATTTCTGGGATGTGGTCCTTCGGTACGATGGGAGCGACAAGCCTGGTGGCGGATAGTGCACCTGCTTCTCGGGATGGGCCTGCTTTCCACCACCACCACCATGTAAAGTTGGAGAGGAGAAGGAGGTGGACGATGAGGAAGAGGAGGAGGAGGAGGAGGAGGAGGAGGAGGCGGAGGACCCCCTCCCCCTCCTACCTGTGGTGCTGGCGGTGGAACACAAGCCCACCATCTCCCGACTCTGCTCCGATCCTCTCTTGGCTCGACATGTATGCTTGGGGTGTGGCTTTCACATACGATGGGAGCGACCTGAACCTGGCGGCGGATGGTGCACCTGCTTCTTGCCCGCGCTCGCTTCCCTCCCCCCGCCGGCTGGTGACTGGCGCGGCACCGCGCCGCGGCCCCCAGCGTGCCGGGGGGGTTGCGGCGCTGGCCCACTTCCCACGGGGTGGCGCAACAGGCTCCTCCTGCCCTCAAGTTGGGCCTTTCCCTCTACAGGAGGAGTACTCAGAAATAGTGAATAAATAGTCTGGGAACTATTTTTTGCTGTTTTTCATTATTTTTCATTTTTGCGAAGTTTTGAACATTTGTTTGACCATCTTTAAAAACCTCTTCGCTTCAAAATCCGCCTGTAGGAGGACACGCCCGACCTCCTCCTGCCCTCGCGCTCGCACGGGGGCGCCTACTTGCACACTGTCTGGGGCACCTCGTCCTCAGGACCCCCATCCCTCAGGACCCTAGCTCCGGACCACCGAGCAAGGCCACGATGCCGCTGCCCGGCCCTCTCTCGCCGCCTCGAGGGATGTTTGTTTGTTATTATTTTTGTTTTTTCCCGGAAAGGGCATAAGCCCAGGGTTCTTTTTTAGGTGGTTTACCTCCGGGTTTGACTTGAGGTGGGCCAGCGAATTTTTGTTTGCGATAGATATCGAGGTCGAGCTGGGCCGGCGAATTAAACATTGTTCATGCCCCTAGCGAAATGCTGGTGTTTGAGATCGCGATTGATAAATCACAGGGTGCGGGACACGTTTTGGTCAGGGGCATAGATTTCGTAATGCCTATAGATTGGCCCCATCCAGGGGTACGTATCTGTGTGTTTTCACGGCTGTTCCTATAGATGGGCCCTCTCGTTACCTATAGATTGGCTCTCTCCAGGGGCACGAATACGTGTGCTTTTATGTATATTCCTATAGACTTGCCCTCTCCAGGAATACGTGTGGTTTCACACCTCCAGGTTGCCCAGGCAGAGGTCAAGCGCCATGATTTGTTGAGGATGTCTCGAGCGAGACGCTTGGTTTCACGCGTCCTCGTGCCCAGGCGGATGGCTAGCATGAGGATGTGTTGAGGAAGTCTCGATCGAGATGCTTGTTTGCACGTGTCCAGGTTGCCCAGGCGGATGCCTAGTATGAGGATGTGTTGAGAATGTCTCGAGAGATTACGCTTGTTTTCACGTGTCCAGGTCGCCCAGGCGGATGTCTAGCATGAAGATGTGTTGAGGATGTCTCGAGCGAGACGTTTGCTTTCGCGTGTACAGGTGGCCCAGGCGGATGTCTAGAATGAGGAGGTGTTGAAAACGTCTCGAGCGAAACGCTTGTTTTCACGTGCCCACGTCACCCAGGCGGACGTCTCACATGAAGATGTGTTGAGGATGTCTCGAGCGAACCACTTGTTTTCACGTGTACAGTTCGCCCAGGCGGATGTCTAGCATGAGAATGTGTTGAGGATGTGTTGAGCGAAACGCTTGTTTTCACGTGTCCAGGCCGCTCAGGCGGACGTCTAGCATGAGGATGTTGACGGGATGTCTCGAGCGAAACGCTTGTCCCCAGCACGTTCCGTAGCGCGTCCCCTTGGCACGTCCCGCGGTGCGACCCCATGGCACGTCCCCTGGCACGTCGCTTGGCGCGTTCCCTGAGACGCTCCGCGGCGCGTCCTCCTGCCATGTCCCCCTGTCAATTAGATCCGGGGCAGCTACTCTGTGTTCAGGCAGCTCGAGCTTAAGATCCAGATCAGTTCGG